ACTGACATATTTCAACTAACAGATACAGCCATAGACCTGCTCACCATGCTATAACAGGAAATGTGGAGGACAATCACCTGGAGGAGATACATATTTGTTCTCATTCCTAATAAAATGTGATCTAATTGAATATGGAAATTATCAAACAATAACATTAATCACATGCAAGTAAAATCTTGCTGAAGATTATTCATAAATTACTAAGAAGGTTCATCAAAAGAGAATGACTAGAACTGCTGTAGACTATAATTGTTCTATGCTATTGAATCAGAACTGATGGGTCAGAACTGACCCTTAACTGACCCTTTGCTGACCCTCCAGTGAGTCTTCAGAAGCATTAAATCAGATGGAAAGAAGTTTCCATTTTTTTTCCCATGGAACAGCTGGTTGATTTGAACTCTGTGCCTTAGGGCTTCTAAATTTGTTCCTACTTTTGCTCTCATATTCTTTATAATTTTTGGTTTTATCTTTAGATCTTTGATCCACCTTCTTGTTGTTGTTGTTGCCATGACCACCATCAAGTGGGCTGCATTCGAATTAAGACAGACTAGGAATAAGGATTGGCCATTCACTTCTGAAATAACAGGTGTTTGAAAATCCTATGTACAATGGATCCACCTTGAGTTAAATTTTTATATAGTGTGAGGAGTGGATCTTGTTTCCATTTTCTGCAGAGACTTCTGGTTTTGCCAGCACCATTGTTAAAGAGAATATTTTGTCATTTAATGAGTTTCATTTCCCTTTCACAGCTCAGTTTGTCATAAGTAGACTGATTTCTGGGATCTCATTTCTCTTCCATTGGTCTATGTGTCTGTCACTGTATTAGTATCATGCATTTTTATTACCATGGCTATGTAGGAAGTTTTGAGGTCAGATTTTGTTTTTCTTATTCTGAAGAGCTTTTCTCCTTAAGGTCTCTTCCCTTTTGAAATACAGTTGGTAATTGCTTTTTCCATCTCTTTAAAGAATAGTGTCAGGATCTGACTCAGGGTTGTTTTAAATATGTAGATTGCTTGTGGTATTACTGTCATTTTCACCATGATAAATCTTTCTATCTGTGAACATGGTATGTTCTTCCAGTTATCTAGGTCTCTTTTTGTGTCTGTTGTTGTTGTTGTTGTTGTTGTTGTGTACCATCAAGTCAGAACCAACCTGTAGCTAATTCTCCACTGTGTTTTCAGAGGCAGTTAATTGCATGGGAGGAGATTGCCCACCCTTTTTCCAAGAAGCAGCTGGTGGCCTCAAACTGTGTGCCTTTGAGATTGCAGTACAGTCTCTTACCACTAAGCCACCAGAGCTCACTGGTGCCTTATGTTGTTTTGTTGTTGTTGTTGATTGCCTTCAAGTCGAGCACGACTCATAGAGACCCTATGAACAAAAGGCCTGAAGCCCCTCTACAACTATCAATATTAATCAAAGTTCATAGAATTTCCAGAAGCATGTTATTTAGGAATTGGATGTCACTCCTGCTTCTAATTCTGACACACCAACCCTCGTTGCCCCATTTCATCTCGGGTCTCCTTCTCCTATGCTGTTTGTCCACCCTTTTGAACATAATGTCCTTCTCCAAGAACCGATCTCTCCTGGCCACGTGCTCAAAGTAAGTGAGGCAGAGCTTCAAAATCCTAGCTTCCAAGGAGAGACTTGATTTCATCGTCTCCAAGACAGACCTATTTGTTTTCTTGGCAGTCCATGCTATGTTCAAGACTCTTTTCCAGCACCACAACTCAAAGTCATTTATTCTTCTTCTGTCATCCTTAGTCATTGTTATAGTATTATTTTATAATTTATTTAGATAGGTCTTCTGTGTCTCTGGCTAGATTTTCTCCTAAGTGTTCAACCTTATGTGGCTATTGCAATTGATACTGTTTTTCTTATTTCCTTTTGAATGATCTCTTTGTTACTATTAGAGAAATCAGACTAATTTTTATATATTGACCTTGTACCCTGTCGCTTCGCTGATTTTGTTGACTTAGTCATTTTCTTACTGAGTCTTTGGGATCATCTCTATACATTATCATATTGTCTGCAGATGAAGATAGTTTTACTTCCTCTTTTCCAATATGGATGTCTCATATTTTCTTTTCTTGTCTTATTACTCCAGCGAGAACTTCCAACAAATATTGTAAAGGAGTGGTGAGAATGGGCATGTGGTGAGAGAGTCCTTTTCACAATGAGAAAATATTTAATCTTTTTTCTATTGACATTTTCCTTATATCATCACCTCTATCTCAATGGGAATACCAGAACACATGATCGTGCTAATGCAAAACCTATAAGTTCTAAAAACTAAGAAAGAATATTTAATCTTTTTTCTATTGTACATGATGCTGGCTTTGTGTTGATTGATTTTCTTAACTATATTAAAGAAATTATCCCCTATTCCTATGTTATTAGACATTTTAATCAACAAGTAGTGTTGAATTTTAACAGATGTCTTTTTGGCATCATTTAAAATGACCACACAGTTCTCTTCTTTGTTTTATTGATATCATACATTGCGTTGATTGTTTTTCTAATGTTGAACCATTTTTATATACCTGGTCTGAATCTCACTTGATCATGATGTGTTTGTTCTTTTGATATGATGTTTGATTCTAATAGCTAAGATTTAGTTGAGTATTTTTGCATCTATGTTCATGAAGTATATTGGTCTATAATATAAGTTTATTTTAAAAAAACCTGGAGCTCCATTTATAAATTAATAACATATTAAAATTTGCTTGTTTGCCAAATTATTTTGAAAAAAATTCCTTTCAGAAATAAAAAAAAATTACTGTCTTCTTTTGAAATTTTTAGTTCCTTGTTTTATATTGTTTTCTGTGTGAAAATAGGAAATTCATATTTTTGTAAGCAGAGGAGATGGAACAACAAGAAAAAATTGTATTATATATTGCTTCTCAGAATATCACAAAGCAATGAAAAGGAATTTTTAATATATAGAAAATAATCGGTTTTGAACAGTCTGAATCTGGTTTTCACTATTGATCCCATATAGTATGAACATATTATAGAGCCTCTGCAAATCCCAAATTTCTTTTCTGTAACAATTAGGGATTCAACTTAATAGAGTTACAAGGATAAATAATCAACGAGTACCTTATGATAGGAAAATATGTGGAATTGAGTTATGCTTTCAAGAAAAGGTAATATTCAGAAAATACCAACTCACTTCTCATTCCCTTTCCTTACATACCCATGATTTCTAGGTAACTAATGTTAATTGATCAGCTAGTATTTTAATATAAAGAAATAATATATTCATCAAATATTTTCAATGCAATTATGAAAACCTTCCTGGTAAAGTCTTAAAAAAGCTCTAGTTCCTGATATATGAATAACTTTGAGACATGATTTTTTATTTAAAATATCAGAAATAACATAAAATATTATATAGAAGTATATCTTCCTCTAGAAGGCTTTTATATTAAGTTGAAAGTCAGCATAACTTTCAACATTAAGTTCACTGCTGTCCAGTCAGTTCTAACCGACAGGGACACTCCATTGGGTTTTCAGAGTTGAAAATCCTAATTGGTGGAAAATGCTCATCTCTCCTCAAACATTAACTTTAGAAAGACACTTGTTACATATTTCTAAATCTCTATGCCCATTGTTGTTGTTGTTATATGCCAGTGAGTTGCCTGTGAATCATAGCGACCCTATGTACAACAGCTCTGAATCCTGTCCTATCTTGAGCCAATCTCACTGACTCCAACACAACTAATTCCATCACCCCAGTTGAACTAACTTGATATCCATGAAGTAGAATAGAGCTCTGATTGAAGAAGGAGTTGTACTGCTAACCTAAATGTGGTGCCTCTCAGTGATCTAAAACCACCAGTGGCCTCATGGTAGGAAAATGAGCAAACTCCTGTGTGATTCACAGCCTCTGAAAACCTTCTGGAGCATCAGCATAATAATCAGTTCCAACATGAAAGCAATGAGTTTGAATTTTTTTTTAATTCATAAAGACTCAAGTTGTCACATTCTTCCATGAATAACTTTACATGATTATATGCAAAACACCCAGCCAATAACCGTGTCTTCAAACTTTATAGTCTTGAAATAAAAAATTTTTAAAAAGTAAGCATGTTTTCTATGAATATACAGAATAGAACAGGCAGTTATTAATTATTCCCATTAAGTTGTCTTGGTAACCATGATTAACTTGATATTGTGGTGTTAGATTAAAAAAAAAAAAGGTGGCTTTTTTAAACCATTAGCCTCTAGTCTTCAGCTATCTCAACTGCAGACACATAGTCTTAAAAGTCAAAATCAGTTGTGAAACTAACATAAGTGAAGGAATGCTTCCTACACAGAGAAGCAAGACTTGAGGCAAGATAACTTCAGGCGATATAGACTTGAAGCAATACTTGAAGTGAAAAAACTTGTGGTAGCAGGACCCTGGTGAAAGTGAGACCTTGTTGGTGGAGAGACCGTGAATTGCTGTGGACAAACAGTGGCAAGCTGTGATCTGATCCTTCTTTCATTTGTGTTGGCCACAGTTGGATTTTGCTGTTCTTGCCTTTGATGATGGAAGGAAACTGCTTATTAAATTTTCTGAAACCAGAGCCTGGACTAACTGAGGCGTGTGCCTTGGAACAGTTGGGCTAAAACCTGGCCTTATTTGGGGGGAAATTGTGATCTTCTTTGCCTCCTCCACTCTCCCACTTCCCTCCCTACCATAAATATGAGTCTGAGAATCAGTAACAAATAAAAGAACACCTTGCTCTTGATGGAGCACTACAGGCACCATGGGACAAGGCTACCAACTCTTTATCTACTTTTTGCTCTGGTGCTGTAAGAGGCTGTGCTATTCTCATTCCCTCTGGCCCATTCAGAGATGCTCTTGTTACTCTTTCCCTATGGTCAGTTTCCCTCTTTCTAGACACTGATACATGAATGATGTTTCCACCTGTAATTAGCCATCACAGCATAGACAAGAGAAATAATCACCAAGGCACAGTAATGATAATGGTATTAATAATAAAATATCATACCTGGGAATAGCTGTTTTGTTGGGGCACTGAGTTGTGCTTGCTTTGAAACTCTGTAGGCAGTGTCTGCACCTTTTGAATTCTTTCTGTTTGTACAAAATCCTGTTGTTTTTGATATTCCTTCTGGAGAATTATGAAAATCTAATGCTTTGAGGACATCAACAGGAGCAGCTGAAAAAGAAATGAAACATAAGAATAAATTTAATAAATATGTAATGAAAATTAAAAATCTGATAAAAATTCAACTGATATAATAGTTTGACATTTTCCCTCTCCAGTCAAGCTTGAGAGGGAAGGCAGATGGCTGGTAGTGAATTTCAGGGAAAAAAAATACAAATTACAACAATATTATCATATAAAGCACCTCAACTCTAGAATAAAATTACAGAAGAGGAAAATAAATGATATGTTTACACAAAGAATTTATAGTTGTTGTTGGTTGTGGTCAAGACAACACATGAAGCAGAGTAGAACAGAAGAATTGTGTCTAATATTTTTTTTTTAACTGAAGCAGATTGATAGGTCTTTCTACAAAGATGATGAATGGATTTGAACTACCATTTTTTTTTTCTTAGCAACCAAATGCTTGACTATAATACCACTAGAAATTCTTATATAAGAGTTAATAGAGTCTAACAATAATAATAATATACAAATTGCAGACTAGCACCTAGGTAGTTGTTGCTAACCTAAAGATCATAACTCTTTGGAAGTTTGAATCCACAGGTGACTCCACAAGAGAAAGATGGGTAGTTTCCTCCCATGTGATTCACAGCCTTCAAAATCCAATGAAGTTGGGTCAGTTATGGATCAGTGAATGAAAGATATACAAATTAAGGAGACCTGGTGGCTTAGTGCCTAACATATTGAACTTCTAACGAAAAGGTTAACTGTTTGAATCCACCAACCATTGCAAGGCAGAAAGATTGTCAGTCTTCTCTTTTAACAATTTGCAATCTCAGAAGTCCAGTATAGGGACTTCCAGTATAGTATAAATCATAACTTGTTCAACAGCAGTTAGTTTAGTTTGGTTTTAGGTATATTCAACAGCTCAACTCATTGCCATACCATCAGTCCAACTCATACCAGAGTATTCATCGGGTTTTCAGAGCTATAAATCATATTAAAGGAGATTGCCCATCTTTTTCTTTCAGAACCACTGGTAGGCTTAAACTATCAGAGAGGTATAGTCTTAGGTTAGCAGCTTACCTCTACCACCTATGCCATAAAAGTTAGCAATAGTCTAATGTATTTTAATCACAATTTTTAAAGTGTTTATAATCAATGTTATTACTTAAAATCAAAGTGAACACCAGCACTTTTGTATTTTTCTTTTATGTTTCCTACATCTACTGTTAACTCTTTACAATCCCTCAAATCATACAATTTTATATTTTTCAAATTTAAAATATCTTAGATTGTGCAAAATTTTCAGAGTAACTCATAAATACATGGGGAAGGTGAAAGATATTAAAAAGGATCAAGTAAAATTCCCACAACCTGAATGTATTCCTATGTTGGAAGTTCTAATATAGGATTCTATTTAGTACTGAATTTAGGTAAAAGCAGAAATTTCCATTATTGATCCAGACCAGTGGACACCAGTTACAAAGATTTTTCTACTGCCATCAGCTCATGGGTAACTCATAGCAACCCTCCACTTGGTTTGCAAGGCTGTAGATATTTTATGAGAAGACTTCCCAGCTTTCTCCTAGAGACATGGTGAATTCAAACAATTGACCTTTTTGGTTAGCACTAAAATAATAAACCAAGCTACCAGGGCTTCTTAGTTACAATGCAGTGGTCCATATAAGTTTGGACCTTAAGCTTCTTTTTTGTGAACTGGACTCATTTATATAAATGGATTTTCATAGAATTTATTTTCTTACTCAAATTCTACAATCTCAACTACATAGTCTCAACTAATTAAATCAGCAAGAAAGTCACAAGAATCATATAAGCATTGCTATATATGGACTTTAGAATCTGTGCTACCAATATATGTGTATGCTGTTGGTTTTTTAAATGTATTAACAAATAAAATATCCAGAGTAGGCCATGTGTTGATCAAAATACTGTTGAACATGTATCAATCTAGCTCTTATCTCATATTTATTTAGATTATTTTTGAGAGAACACAATATATGCCCAATATGACTACAACAATGGACTTAAACACAATAGAAATTGTGAAGATGATACAAAACCCAACAAGGTTTTAATCTGTTGTGCACAGGTGGCAACAATGCAAGACTGACTGGACAGATTCTAATAACACAAGCTCATAAGTATAGAAGAGACTGTATGCATATGTATATGTATATGTATATGTATATGTATATATGTATCTATATATAGACTCAGAACTTTTAAGTTTCAGAGATAAAAGAGACTAATTTTAGTTGAAAGTTACAACTAACATTATTAATTTGAAAAGTATTAGTGGTTGATGGAAAAAAGAGAATTGCCATAAACTTTCAGAATATACTGTTTTTTAAATTTATTTCGAGGGTTTGATTAAAATGAGATGGGTCATTTTAGAATTAAAAAATACTATCATCTGAACATATCACATTTAGCAAAGCAGGAAGTAATCTATTAGAGTTTTATTCTTTGAAAATATTGTTTCAACCAGTTTTTGCTTATAATAAATATGTTTTGTATTTCTTTACAAAGTGCAAAATTAAATAGTCTTAAAATAATGTGCATCTGAACACTTCTTCAAGAACAACTCATAGTTGACCCTTCAGGGAGTTTCCAGAGGCACTAAACAGCACAGGAAGAGATTGCTTATCTCTCTCACAGAGCAGCTGGTGAATTCGAACTGTGTGCTTTCAGGATTGCTGCACAGTTTCATACTACCATGCCACCAGATAAATATACATGTATCAACATATGCAAACACAATGATGATCATTAACCCTTTTTATCTTTGTTTATTTATTTTACCAAACATTTGCAAGAAAAGTCAAGAAAAGTATACAAATTATTTAACAACAACACAAAGGGGAAAAAAAAGTCTCAAGTCTTTTCCTAGAGAAGTTGAAGATTTTGAAAGGACCAGTAACTGTATCAAATGTGGTATAATTTAGGTCAGCTTTGGTATTTTTAAGAGAATCATAATAGCATTCAAGAAAGTTATTTGCATTGTTGTTTTTAAGTGTCATCAAGTTGAGTACAACTCATAGAGACCCTATGAACAAAAGACCAGAACCTGTTCTATAACGATTGTTGTTTCTCTAAGTTCATAAGGTTTCCAGAGGCATGCTATTTCGGAAGTGGATGCCACTCCTGCTTCCAAGCCTGTCTCAATTTGGGAGCTCCACCAAACACTATCCACCATGGGTAATTATATGGCATTTGACACACCAGTGGCACAGCATTCAGCATCAGAGCAACCACGAGTTACCTCAGTACAGTGAACTGACATTAGCCAAACTTTTTCAATGGGTTAGAAATCATTATTTATTTCTTTTATATCTTCTATTATGCATCTATGGGAGCTTTGGTGGCTTAGTGGTAAGCAGTTGCACTGTAGACTATCTAGTACACAGTTGGGATGAATTAGCTGTTCCATGTGAGATATATATGCAATACCCTCCCATACAATTTACTGACTACATAAACCCACTGGAGACCCAGTTTTGAGTCAGTTAACAACAGCATCATATATATAACTAGGAAAGCTCTGGTAACTCAAAGATAAGGAGTTGTGCTGCCAACCCAAAGGCACACTGTTAAAATTCCCCCTGTGCTCTACAGGAGAAAGATGGGCAATCTCCTCCCTTGAAGTTCACTGCTTAGGAAAAGACACTAAGAGATCAATTATGAGTTGGTTCCAACTTGACCATACACAACAGTACAGTATAAAACAATAACATATTAATTATAATAACTACTATACAGAATTCCTCAGGTATGTCATTCAGTAAACTTAGTTTTTTCCAAGGGTATTTATCCACACGTAGATTGAATTACATATATTCTTATTCCAGTTGTACACATGCAGGAATTAAGCACCAAAGAACTAACTAATTTTGTTAGATGCTGGTGAATCAACTATGACTCATACTAATCCTAAAAAACCACAGATTTGAGCCTTGACCTGTCCTGTGATCTCTATCCTCATGATCTCTCTGACATGCTTGACCCCACTGCTATAGTCCGTGTAATATAATGTACTAAAATTATCACTTTGATTCTTGTTGCCATTTGTCTACAATAAAGCCATCTTATTGTGGCATACAAGTTCTTCTGAAGCAGAATGCTTCAAAAGGTCAAGTCATCTTATCTTTACAATTTTAACTTCTCTTTTGCTCAAAAACCATTTAAAAAATAACAGTGAAAGACTGCAGGGTATACATGAACACACTCATGAAGTCTATAGGTCTTATGGAAGTAAAAATAGAGCCCCATTAGCACAATCACAACAAAACATACTTGAACATTACATAAAAGAGGTAACACCCACACATTTTGCCATACTTCTTCTGTCTAATTTAAATTTAATGTGATAAAAATATCATATGGATGCATATTTATTAATAAAGTCAGTACTTTAAAAACAAAAAAAATACATTCACTCTCTAAAACTCCTATGTGTCATAATTTTTAAAAGTGAACACAACCTTGTTGATATACATGCTCTTTTGCAAAAGTTTTTGAGTTGTTTTGTTTTTACTTATACTTGTAGCACCAACAGGCTTTATTGGTGGCTATGGAGACAGAAGCAAAGCATGACTGATCTTGCTTTCTGAGGTAGAAAGAAATCTGAAAGAAATGCAAAAGTAAAATGTGAACTCTGAAAGAAGTGCAAAAGTAAAATTTTTTAAGGTTGCATAGTGGAGTGCATTTGTGGTGGCGGGAGGGGGGCAAGGTCGGGGCCGGGAGGATTATAACCAAGAAGAAGTTTATCTTTTGCTTTTCAAAGAGAGGAATGAACTGGGG